AGTTATGCAAAAAAAACTCAGATGGACAAACAAAACGCTGAGGTAAAATCCTATAATAAATGCTGTACCAGCCCTCTCAGTATCAGGAATCATTAGACAATATTTTAACAATATTTGGTCTAAAACAATATTTGGTCTAAAACAATATTTGGTCTAAAATGTTTTGATCTTTACTCCTGCTGGGCTACAATGAGATTAATGAAATGTGTTTGTATTGATTCAGGGGTAGAAGGAGGGGCGGTCAGAGTCACCGGGGCCAAGGGCTTCGCTCCGTCCCATGACTACAAAGTAAGTCAGAAGTATCAAAGGCAGAGGACGCTAGTAAGGAGAGGTGGGGCTTCATTCAATAGTTTTAACTATGATGTTATTTTGGTCCTGGTGTCCAGGTGTGCGCCACCTACATGGACGGCTTTAGAGCCACGGCGGTATGTCCTGTCGGAGGGCCGAGAGCCGCTCAGAAAGCCCGACGGACTGCTGATAGCATCATCAAACGGTGCGTAGAACCGTTTGATGATGAACCGGTGTTTACCATAGTTATTACTTTAATGGAAGGGATACTTATAATCCTCTAAAATCTACCCATTTTTATTGTTTGTTCAGGACCAGAAGAATGTTCAAGCAGCTGGGACTGGAGGACTTTAGCTCTATCAACATCCAGGTTCTTGGAGCTGAAGACACTTACGGCCCAAATGCTCGCAGTACGGTAAGACGGAGCGAACAGAACTTTAACCAGTTGATTCAGCTCAGTTTACCAGTTGTTCAGTCTGTTTACTAACTGTTGGTGCTGGGATAGAATAAACCCAGTTAAGGTTCTTCAGATGGTCTCTAGAAATTAGATTTATTTAGAAGCTGTGTCATAATACTTCTAGAGATCAAAAAGGGATAAGATAATTCTAGTGGTTGTAAATATTTGTGTTATGGTCGTACTCTGGTTTAGTGAGCCACTCAGTACTGCATTGCTTTTGGGATTATTTGGACTGTTCTGTTCCTGAGCTTGAAAGGCTGAGTTATCTGAATTATATCGGTCACATGGTTTACAGCTTTAGCACAGCTGATTATGATGATTGCAGTTGTGCAAAAGCCTGTTAAATTAAAATTAGCTGTGCTGGAGCAAGGAAACCTCTCAAACCTGCAGGACAGCGGCCCTTGATCGACTTTGGGGATGCCTGCAAGAATCAACTAAGGGAAGTAGACAGAGATCGGGGCTTTCATTTCTAATAGACCATGTCAGATCTCTAACATAAGTATGAATGTCACTGGGTTTGTCTTTCTGAGAATTCATTAAGAATTGCTGATTAGTATTTCCTGTAACCAGATCAGTCCAGAAAACTCTGATTTAAATGGTTCAGTTAAAGTCGTAGGGAAGCGGCTGTTCCTACCGTTGCATTTCCGAATTCTCCCGAGTGGTGCCCGACTTTACGCTAGCGAATAAAGTGAAGGGGCCGGGATTGTTATGGCGGGAGGTTTAGCAAGTTTGTCGGAAGCATCTTGCTAACCAGTTAGCAACTTAATGCTAGTAGGTTCCCAATGGGAAATTCCATTGGGACCAAGTAGCACTAAATTGGTGACTTAGAAACGACGCTGTCAAGGAACGCTATGGACAGAGGAAACATGCAAGAGGAGGAGAGTTTAGTATCGGAGGTCGTGGATGAGTCTCCTCTATCATCCATTTTTTATTCAGAGGAGGAAAGCGGGGACGGAGATGTTGTGGAAGAGGACGCCAGGGCGGCAGAAGCTTGGTTTGGTGTAGACAGATGAGAATCTTTATCTTCCATGTTGGTTTTTATTCTTCAGGGCGTTAAAGCTACACTAACTCCAGCCCTTCCAGCCCCCGTCATTCCTCCGTCCTCTTGTTAAACCAAATGGGCCGGGGTCAGAGTTAAGCCTGTTTCAAGCCTCTAAACTCTCTCTGTCGCTCTTTTGTTCTCCATTAGACACAGACGCTGCCCTACTTTCACCCCCAGAGTTCCCCTTTAGAGAGTCGGGTCAGGGTCAGAGCGGTCGGGCCGTCTTCCCCTCTGAAACCAAACCCTCAGCGGTTCTGACTCTCATCTTTGGGTCTCTGTCTGTCTGTGTTTAGGAATCCAGAGAGGCTGTGATGTGGATGGCCGTCCACCACAAACAGAAGAAAGCTCTGGAGATATTTGCCAGAGAAGTGGCTCCTGCAGGCACCGGCATGGGTACGGTAATCAGTCGCTGACTTTGCGCCCTCAGGAGCTCCATCCCTCCACTTTGTAAACAGCAGAACATCCATATGATCCGCTCTGCATTCGATGAAAGCCTGATTTTATCAGTATATCAGGGTGAGCTGAAGGAAAACTCAGTGTGCAGCTCCTTCACCCTGAGGCAGATCAGATACCAGTGAAAGCCTTAAAACACAACCTATAGTTTGGTCACGTCTTCATCCATCCATCCCCAGGTCAGGATGGCTCTGAAGATCCTTTCTGAGAAAAATTCCTGGATTATTGGGGGGGAAATCTCTACAAGTTCAGATGTGGGTCATCTTTATATTCGTTCCTCAGCATCACCACACCCTGTCCTGGTTTACAGATTCTTTTCTGTTTGGAAGTTCTCCAGTTGGAGATTCTCTAAATTGGAAAGTTTATTTTGATGGATTTTAGATTTGATTGTCTTTAAACGAGAAAATAAAGAAAAAGCATCAGATGGTTGGCATCATCATCATCCTCCAGGGAGGAAAGTGTGGTGAAATCATGGAGTTCATTAGATAATCCTCTATAAAGAAGGAAAACTGAGATTCCAAACCGCTGATTTCTTGATCTATTATTTACTCCATCCGCCATATTTCATAGATTGATCATGTATTGCGGTGGGGTAACATCCCACTGAGAAAAAATCCACATTTTCACTTGCAGGATAATTTGGATGTATGGAGTGAGTTTTGTTCCATTATTTTGTAAATGGAAAAAATAATAATAATAATAAT